ATGGGAAACTTAGAAATATTATGCTGATTTGATTACCATGGCTTTATAGTATAGTTTTAAGTCAGCTAATGCAAAAGCTCCAAATTTTTTATTTCTCAGACTAGCTATTTGGGATGAGTTATGGTTCCCTACAGAATTTGTTAAGGATCATCTAAATCCTAGATGAATGTTATCAGGATTTTGATGGATATTGCTGTATTATTATTTAAGTAGGATGGTCATTCTTAACAACTTTGATTCTTCAAATCCATTATCATAGAATATTTTCTCATTTCCTAAGCTTCTCTCTTGTTAAGTAGGCTACCTCTTTTTACTTCTTGAGATTTTATTTGTCATGTGTCTTGGTGTGCTGTTACTTGAATCCACTTTGTTTGGTACTCTTTGGACCTTTTAAAACTCTTTCCAGAATCAGAGGAAGTGCTGAATTTCATATCTTCCACCAGTTGTTTTCCCCTTTCTCCTTATCCTCTCTTTCTGTTCCTAAAATTCATAAATTATATGTCTTGTTGTATCTTATATTTTCTTTCATATTTTATATAATTTTTCTCTTTTTCCTCATTTTTGTTGATAGCTTGTATTTTGTCTCAAGTTCACTGATACAGATATTGGCATTTGGAATTCTATTACTGGTACTATAATATTTGCTTTAGCTCCTCAGTTACATTTGCAAAAATTGTTTAATATGTTTAAATAGTTCTTGGAAAATCTTGAAGTTCTATTTTAGTTCTTTGCTAAATTCCATTTCTATAATATAGAATATTTTTTCAGATCTTTTTCAACCAGAATCATGGATTTTGATGCACTTAAGGACTTATCTGGACCTCTGTGCCTATCCAGTGGGGAGCTGAGTTCCTTTGTCTCCTCATCGTTAACTGAAATTTCACGTATGCTGACAATGGAACTTCAGATTTCAAAAATATGAGTGTCAACTGTTGACACTGTCATATACTGTTGACACTGTCAGACTGTTTATACATTACTGCTTTATGAAATATCTCCTTGTGAAGATTTTTTAAGAGGACAGTTTGTGGGGTGTTAAGTTAGCTGTTCTGTGGTGGGAACTTTTACAGGAGTTTGCTGGAATACAGGCAAGACCCAATGGGTTTCCTGCAGCCCTGAGAGTACGTTGAGGAGGGTAAAGGATATCTGGTGCATTTTCAGCATCAGTGATCATCATTGAGGGACAAACGACAAGAAGCCTCCCTTTGTAGGGCCTAGCTGGGGTGAATATATATATGTAGATGAAAACAGGGCAGAGGATGCCATACTGTGGGAACTTTTTGCCAGACTATAGACAAAAGGTAGATCCAAACAGTGTAGAAGTCCAAGATAGATGGGAAGGAGGAATCAAGAGTCTTCCTGAAACTACTGGTAGAATAGGGTGCTACGGGATTTATCTGCCAGCTTCAGTATGAATAGGAGATCTAAATAGCGTCATATTACAATCAGTTTATCATCAAAAAAAGGAAACTAGTTTTATGTAATTTTATCAGCATTTTTAACTTCTTTTGAACTTTTTTTGAACTAATTTCTTTCCCTTGATTTCCTGAATAGCCCAATTATTTTTAGCTCTTTTTTCCTGACCCATCTGTCTTTCTATTGCTCTGATTGTTCCGGCTACTGAAAATATTTTTAGTTATTGGTTTACAATATTGTGTGCTACCAAGGATTTTGTTTTCATCTCAATATGTTTATAATTCTCATCTAAACCACCACCAAAGTTCCAAGATTGGGTGGTCATCCCACCACGCAAAAGACCTCGTTACTTATTCTTCTCAACTTACATGCCTTTTTTTTCTGAGAACCATCATACTTATCAACAAATCTAGAAATTAGCTTGTTGATTTGTTTGTTGGTGGTCCAAAATTAGGACACATGCAAGGCAAAAACTTGCTAGCTCAGCTGCACCCTGGCCCATTTTGCTGTTTTCCAAGTGGATCTTTTTCTGTGCAATGATGATGAGAGAAATGAAGTCATAAAGATTCTAAAACTTATACCTTCAAGTGTAGGCCTCTACTTTGAACAGTGGATCTATACCTCTAACTGAAAGACTTCATTTTGTTGTTTTGGGTCACACTAGGGCTGGCTGCTCAAGGCTTATTCCTGACTGTGTGTTCAGGAATCACTCCTGATGGTATAGAAATAATACAGGTAATGATCATGCACAAGCCAAATACTTCAACCCTGTACTATCTCTCAAGTTTTCCAACTGCATTCTTCAAATTTCTCTTTAGCTATGTCAAAGCTCTATTTACGTATTCATTTCTAAAGTGAAGCCAATGATATACCACACCGATAGATATTTCTGCTATCAAAGATTTCATCTTCAATCAAATTAGACAAGCCAAATCCTAGAACTCAGTGTTAATTGTGTGTGTGAAACAAGATCATTTTTATTGGAACTCTCTAAGATGTGAGAGGGGGAAAGAGTAAGTATGTGTTCAAGGGAGAACATGAATTTAACAAGTACGCTTAAATCTTGCTTTTATGTAGCATACCTATCAAATCTACAACGAAGATATGTTTTATCTACATATTTCTAGTCCATTTATTTCTCAGTATAACCATAGCAACTACATAACCATAGCAACTATTGTAGTACAAAGTCATCATCTGTAGCCCGGGCAACAGTGGCCTCCTAATGTACTACTCTACATACATTCATTCTTATTTCTCTCAAATTTATTTTTCATGCCAATCCAATGACTCTCTTTCTAAATAAAACCTGATCATGTTATCCCTATAATTAATAATCTCCAATCATTTCTCATTGACTTTGAATTAAAGTCTTAAATCTTGTAAGTCACTTGTTACTAGTGACTTATAAGATTTCTCCATATCTAAGTCTCCGTATTCATCTCAGAATAGGAATTTTAATTCTCTGCTTTCAAGCTGAACTATTTTGTTTCAGTTCCTAACATTATTTATTCTAGATTCAAACACATTTTGAAAATCTCCTTCTATTTGCATAAAATGGTTTCTCCCATTTTTCATTTGTTCACTTTCTTGTTTTCATTTCTCTTCATGAATCATCATTTTTATGGGGAAAACATTCAACTCTATTAATGTCACCAGGATTGATTATGATGTAATTTTATTCCACTCTGAAGCAAAATTTTAATAATAACATTATCATATTGTATAGTCACCAGGTTCCATGCCATTTTTGTAGGAGGTCACTTCTGTTTTGTTCACTAATTTTTTCCTAGTGCTTAGCACCATGCTTGAAATTTTGTTGGAATTTTATAACATAAAGTAAGGTAAAGGTAAAGGTAAAGGCCCTCCCGTTGATCGTCGATTTGCTCGAGCGGGCCCAGTAACGTCTCCATTGGAGACTTTGTTGTTACTGTGTCTGGCATATCGAATACTCTCGGTAGCTTGCCGGGCTCTCCGAATAACATAAAGTAATCCAGATTATTTGCAATTAATATCAGAGAGTAAAGTACATTAAATTGAAGCTTAAAGAGATTGATACATAGTCTCTTAGAAAATGGTAAAATCATTTGAATGTTTTAGGTCAAGAAAAACTATCGATCAATATCCTTGATAATCATAAATAAAAAGATTCTTAAAAATCCTAAAAAAACAATCTCTATAATATGTAAAAAGATCATCACCAAGTGTGATTTATTTCAGGGATACAAATTTCAGCACATATGAATGAATGAAACAGAGTTCCTGGAAGATGATACAGGGGTTTTGGGGCATCCTTTACATGCAGTTGACCCTGGAGTGAGCCAAAACACCACAGAGTTCCCCCAAGAAACACTGTTAAGATCCTCAGAGGCCCCTGACCACTTCAGGGTGACTCAAGTAATCCCCTGTACTGTAAAGTGAGAAGCACTACATCCTCTGTCCTTCCATTCAATTTCTTGTCTAGTTGGTTGAGAATTACAGTGTCCCCAGTCCTTTGAACATCTCTAGGGAGAACCGCCAGAAAAATAAATACAACTACCATATGATCCAGCAATTCACTCAAACATTTCTGTCACACAAACGAGAAATATAATTTTAAAAGATATACATATACCTATGTTTATTGTAGTCAGATGAATAATAATTGCTAGTGACAGCTGGAGCGATAGCACAGCGGTAGGGCATTTGCCTTGCACGCAGCCAACATGGCCGACCTGAGTTCTATTCCTCCACTCCTCTCAGAGAGCCCGGCAAGCTACCGAGAGTACCTCGCCCGCTCGGCAGAGCCTGGCAAGCTACTCGTGGTGTATTCGATATGCCAAACACAGTAACAACAAAGTCTCCAATGGAGACGTTACTGGGCCCACTCGAGCAAATCGATGAACAACGGGAGGACAGTGACAGTGACAGTGACAGATGGATGACTAAAGAATATAATGTATATTCATACAATGGAATACAACTCAGTCTTAAAAAAAATGTAGTCTTATTTTCTGGCACAATTGAAATGGGCTATTTTAACAAAGGATTATAGGACAACAAATTCAATAACCCAGAAATGATGAATACATTTCTAGAAAACACAAATTGAGATTGATGTACTAGAACTCTTTTGTTGTACTTCAGAGAAGCCCAGTTAAATTTAATCTGGAAAGAGAGATGGAGTAGCTCAGCTCTCACCCAAACTCTTTTCACTTCTCTTCTTTTCTTTTTTTCACATTAATATATCCACTTAACAATTATAGACATAAAATAAAGGTAGAAATAGTCTGTATCCTAATGAAAAATCATAATAAAAATAACAATCCATTGATTATATAAAATGGTGTGATCATAAATCTGCCAAAATAGCCATAGGTTAAAAGCTACTCTGTTCTGACGATTTTCAAAATAAAAACTTAAGAATCTATTTTTAAAAATTAGGACAGATAATATTTGACCTAATTAACTTTTCAAAATCTGTAGTTTTTGACAGTGTGGAATTGATACGAAGTTAGATAAATAAGTCAATGGAAACAAGTAGTGTCCAGAAATAAACCTATTAGCATATAGTTAATTAATTTTGGCAAAATTGACAAAGAAATTTATTGTGGAAATAATCTTTTCAAGATCCGTGCAATCTCTGGCATGAGGGGGTCATCTGGGTTTGGATCACATAGCAGTGAACTAATGGATAAAAGAACTTTAGAAATACTTAAAGCTGGAGACCACTGTGATCTTAGAATATCGAGACAAATGCTGCCATTACTGTTAACATTTGGATGATAAATTCTTGTTGTAAATGCAACCTTAGGTGACTTGAAGGGGTAGTCTCTAGGAAAATGAATGGTCAAGAAGAATACACCACCTTGATAGGGGCTGTCATTAGGTCCTATGATGGTGCCTTGCCAGTGAAACATATCATCCCCGACTGGACCTGCAGAACATTGTGCTGGAGGGTCACGGGCCAAATCACTAAGTTCCTTATTGATCCGCTTCAGCGCCATGCTGTGGGTGCTCAGTGCACTGCGGGCTCAACCCGGCTGCCGGGCAGAGATGCAGGATACGGGATGGGGATGGGGGAGGCTGCAGTCTCAGCTCTGATGTACCAGGTGCCCTGCATGCTGCTGCCCCGGCTGGCCCCGCACTCCGGTCGGCCACTGAGAAGCCTCGAGAACCGGAAGGAGATGACCTGAAAGATTTTCTCTCCTGTGAAGATGGCTTGTGCAGTGGAGACCAGGATTCTGAAGCTGAGTGTTGCAGTGGAGAGACTCCTACCAGAGTAACTAGAAAAACTCTGATATTTAAAAAGAGAACTCCCAGAACGACCACCGACTGGGAGCTCTTTGGCACTATTGCGGAAACATGGGAAGAGGCCATTGTTGACAACATTGATGAGGAATATGATCGACTGGTACAGCACCTCCATGAATGTGCGAGGAACGCCAAGAGAGAAATAGCCACAAAAAATCGCCTATCTTCGAAAACTCTTGAGCTTATTCGCCAGCGTGGTTTGGCACATGCCTCAGGCAACCGAAAGCTAACATCGGAGCTTGCAAAGCAGTGCAGAGATGTGATCAAGGAAGACCTCAAAGAGAGAAGAGCAGAAGTGCTGGTAGATGCGACAGAAGCCGGGAAAAGTATTTGTTACGCCCGTCTGTCCTTCGCCAACTACAAGACCAAGATGACTGCCCTCCGACGTCCTGATGGATCCACCACATCCTCCAGAACAGCAATGGAGAAGATTATCCATGACTTCTACTCAAATCTCTTTGATAGACATGTCCACTTGCCGACATACCAAATTCCACAGGATGGATATGTCATTCCCAACGTTCTCCCTTCCGAAATCCGACATGCCATTTCTTCAGTAAAGAAGCAAAAAGCACCCGGCCCAGACAAGGTCAGACCTGAACACCTGAAGAACCTGCCGTCAGTACTCATCAATACACTGGCTCGGCTCTTCACACACTACCTGTCTGAATGCAAGGTTCCATCCCAGTGGAAAACCAGCAGGATCGTACTACTGTTCAAGAAGGGAGACATTCATGACATAGGCAACTATTGCCCAATCTGCCTATTGTTTGTCATCTACAAGTTGTTCACTCGAGTCATCCTAAATAGGATTGGCAGAACACTAGATGAAGGACAACCATGCGAGCAAGCCGGGTTCCGCAAAGGATTCAGCACCATCGACCATATCCACACGATAACCAAGCTCATTGAGGTTTCTCGGGAGTTCAAGATGCCGCTCTGTTTAGCGTTCATTGATTTAGAGAAGGCCTTTGATTCTGTTGAGACGGAAGCGGTCATTGAAGCCCTAGCCAATCAGGGCATTCATGCCCAATACATCAGGATCCTCCTTGAGCTGTGTTGCGGATTCACTACCAGGATCTCACCATTCTACAAAGAAGTGATCGTTGATGTCAAGAGAGGGGTGCGGCAGGGTAATACCATTTCACCGAAACTCTTCAGTGCCACCCTCGAGAACATCATGCGATGCCTGGAATGGGAAGGAATGGGAGTGAAGATAGATGGTTCGCAACTACACCACCTCCGCTTTGCTGCTGACATTGTTTTAATAACAGCAAACATCAGCCAGCGGCACAAATGCTGGCTGACTTTGACCGTGAGTGTGGAAAGGTAGGACTACAGCTGAATCTTACGAAGACAATGTTTATGAGAAACAGCCTCGTTCCTGATGCCCCATTGGCTCTCAACGGAACTACCATCTCCGAATGCAACAGCTATGTGTACCTAGTATGAGAAGTCAACATGACAAATGACCTGGCACCCGAGCTGTGCAGGAGGAAGAGAGCGGCTTGGAACGCCTTCAAGAACGTCGAAGAAGATAGAGGCCCAGCTCTGGGCAACAAAGCTGAACGGCTCCAATTCCAACAGGTACAGCCCGCCCCCAAGGGCCCGGGTTCCTCTCTGGGCACGCGCAGCTAGAAACAGCCCCGAGACAGCCGGTTTTCAACCCCTGAGCCGCGTGGGACGGGCACAGAGGCCCAGCTCTGGGCAACAAAGCTGAACGGCTCCAATTCCAACAGGTACAGCCCGCCCCCAAGGGCCCAGGTTCCTCGCTGGGCACGCGCAGCTAGAAACAGCCCCGAGACAGCCGGTTTTCAACCCCTGAGCCGCGTGGGACGGGCACAGAGGCCCAGCTCTGGGCAACAAAGCTGAACGGCTCCAATTCCAACAGGTACAGCCCGCCCCCAAGGGCCTGGGTTCCTCTCTGGGCACGCGCAACTAGAAACAGCCCCGAGACAGCCGGTTTTCAACCCCTGAGCCGCGTGGGACGGGCACAGAGGCCCAGCTCTGGGCAACAAAGCTGAACGGCTCCAATTCCAACAGGTACAGCCCACCCCCAAGGGCCCGGGTTCCTCTCTGGGCACGCGCAGCTAGAAACAGCCCCGAGACAGCCGGTTTTCAACCCCTGAGCCGCGTGGGACGGGCACAGAGGCCCAGCTCTGGGCAACAAAGCTGAACGGCTCCAATTCCAACAGGTACAGCCCGCCCCCAAGGGCCCGGGTTCCTCTCTGGGCACGCGCAGCTAGAAACAGCCCCGAGACAGCCGGTTGTCAACCCCTGAGCTGCGTGGGATGGGCACAGAGGCCCAGCTCTGGGCAACAAAGCTGAACGGCTCCAATTCCAACAGGTACAGCCCGCCCCCAAGGGCCTGGGTTCCTCTCTGGGCACGCGCAACTAGAAACAGCCCCGAGACAGCCGGTTTTCAACCCCTGAGCCGCGTGGGACAGGCACAGAGGCCCAGCTCTGGGCAACAAAGCTGACCGGCTCCAATTCCAACAGGTACAGCCCGCCCCCAAGGGCCCGGGTTCGTCTCTGGGCACGCGCAGCTAGAAACAGCCCCGAGACAGCCGGTTTTCAACCCCTGAGCCGCGTGGGACGGGCACAGAGGCCCAGCTCTGGGCAACAAAGCTGAACGGCTCCAATTCCAACAGGTACAGCCCGCCCCCAAGGGCCTGGGTTCCTCTCTGGGCACGCGCAACTAGAAACAGCCCCGAGACAGCCGGTTTTCAACCCCTGAGCCGCGTGGGACGGGCACAGAGGCCCAGCTCTGGGCAACAAAGCTGACCGGCTCCAATTCCAACAGGTACAGCCCGCCCCCAAGGGCCCGGGTTCCTCTCTGGGCACGCGCAGCTAGAAACAGCCCCGAGACAGCCGGTTTTCAACCCCTGAGCCGCGTGGGACGGGCACAGAGGCCCAGCTCTGGGCAACAAAGCTGAACGGCTCCAATTCCAACAGGTACAGCCCGCCCCCAAGGGCCCGGGTTCCTCTCTGGGCACGCGCAGCTAGAAACAGCCCCGAGACAGCCGGTTTTCAACCCCTGAGCCGCGTGGGACGGGCACAGAGGCCCAGCTCTGGGCAACAAAGCTGAACGGCTCCAATTCCAACAGGTACAGCCCGCCCCCAAGGGCCCGGGTTCCTCTCTGGGCACGCGCAGCTAGAAACAGCCCCGAGACAGCCGGTTTTCAACCCCTGAGCTGCGTGGGATGGGCACAGAGGCCCAGCTCTGGGCAACAAAGCTGAACGGCTCCAATTCCAACAGGTACAGCCCGCCCCCAAGGGCCTGGGTTCCTCTCTGGGCACACGCAACTAGAAACAGCCCCGAGACAGCCGGTTTTCAACCCCTGAGCCGCGTGGGACGGGCACAGAGGCCCAGCTCTGGGCAACAAAGCTGAACGGCTCCAATTCCAACAGGTACAGCCCGCCCCCAAGGGCCTGGGTTCCTCTCTGGGCACGCGCAACTAGAAACAGCCCCGAGACAGCCGGTTTTCAACCCCTGAGCCGCGTGGGACGGGCACAGAGGCCCAGCTCTGGGCAACAAAGCTGACCGGCTCCAATTCCAACAGGTACAGCCCGCCCCCAAGGGCCCGGGTTCCTCTCTGGGCACGCGCAGCTAGAAACAGCCCCGAGACAGCCGGTTTTCAACCCCTGAGCCGCGTGGGACGGGCACAGAGGCCCAGCTCTGGGCAACAAAGCTGAACGGCTCCAATTCCAACAGGTACAGCCCGCCCCCAAGGGCCTGGGTTCCTCTCTGGGCACGCGCAGCTAGAAACAGCCCCGAGACAGCCGGTTTTCAACCCCTGAGCCGCGTGGGACGGGCACAGAGGCCCAGCTCTGGGCAACAAAGCTGAACGGCTCCAATTCCAACAGGTACAGCCCGCCCCCAAGGGCCCGGGTTCCTCTCTGGGCACGCGCAGCTAGAAACAGCCCCGAGACAGCCGGTTTTCAACCCCTGAGCCGCGTGGGACGGGCACAGAGGCCCAGCTCTGGGCAACAAAGCTGAACGGCTCCAATTCCAACAGGTACAGCCCGCCCCCAAGGGCCCGGGTTCCTCTCTGGGCACGCGCAGCTAGAAACAGCCCCGAGACAGCCGGTTTTCAACCCCTGAGCCGCGTGGGACGGGCACAGAGGCCCAGCTCTGGGCAACAAAGCTGAACGGCTCCAATTCCAACAGGTACAGCCTGCCCCCAAGGGCCCGGGTTCCTCTCTGGGCACGCGCAGCTAGAAACAGCCCCGAGACAGCCGGTTTTCAACCCCTGAGCCGCGTGGGACGGGCACAGAGGCCCAGCTCTGGGCAACAAAGCTGAACGGCTCCAATTCCAACAGGTACAGCCCGCCCCCAAGGGCCCAGGTTCCTCGCTGGGCACGCGCAGCTAGAAACAGCCCCGAGACAGCCGGTTTTCAACCCCTGAGCCGCGTGGGACGGGCACAGAGGCCCAGCTCTGGGCAACAAAGCTGAACGGCTCCAATTCCAACAGGTACAGCCCGCCCCCAAGGGCCTGGGTTCCTCTCTGGGCACGCGCAACTAGAAACAGCCCCGAGACAGCCGGTTTTCAACCCCTGAGCCGCGTGGGACGGGCACAGAGGCCCAGCTCTGGGCAACAAAGCTGAACGGCTCCAATTCCAACAGGTACAGCCCACCCCCAAGGGCCCGGGTTCCTCTCTGGGCACGCGCAGCTAGAAACAGCCCCGAGAC